CCTTGGGCTTGTTAGGTTATGACCACAGTCTCCACACTTTTTAAGTACCCTATTTGGTTTTTGCAAAACCTATCTCTGAAGTTCTTGCCCTTATGTTGCTTAGTAACCAGAGGCCAAGGCAGAAGCTACCCTCCTCACTGTGTAGCCCCTCTGTTCCTAGTTGCCTGCCTAAGCTTAACGTAACCAAGCTTTCTCCTACCTATATCAGTACCTGTTGAGAAATACAGGTAGCCGGTGCTGAGTCCATGTAACAGGAGACCTGACCCATTTTGGAAAGTCAAAAAAGGCTTTAGGAAGGAGTGAGGAGTGAGCAGGGACCCAAGTTTAAGCAAGCAACAAGATGACAGTGGAAAGGAAGAGCTTCCCAGGCATAGAGAAGAGCTAACTCCTCCTAGCTGAAGGGAACAAGGCTAGGAACCATATCTGGAGCCCAGAAAGATTAGGTGACCAGCCCCAAGTTCTAAAACCAAGGTCAAAGAACAGGGATAATCCAAGTCTACACAACTCCTAGGCCATCTTCATTGTACTACCAACCTCCCTAGTCAGCAATCAGCATCTCCTTTACACTCAAAACCTTGGTCAGGACAGAGATCCATCACTCTAGTGAGGGGAAAAAGAAACACGCTTTGCCATGGCATTCAGTTTCTTTTTTTTTTTTTTTTTAACTTGATTTTCTTATTGTTTGAGAACAGAGAGAGAGAGCAGTCCCATTTGCTAGTCCACTCCCCAGATGCCCACAACAGCTGGGGCTGGGTTCTCCCAAAGCTGGGAACTGGAAACACAATCCAGGTCTCTCACGTGTATAGCAGGGACCCAATTACATGAGTCATCACCACTGCCTTCCAGGCTCTCCACTAATAGGAAGCTGAAATCCAGAGCAGAGCCAGCAATCCAGGCACTCCGGTGTAGGCATCTTTTTTTTTTTTTTAGATTTATTTATTTATAAGATTTTATTTATTTGAAAGACAGTTACAGAGACAGAGAGAGAGGTTTTCTATCTACTGGTTCACTCCCCAGATGGTTGCAACGGCCGGAGCTGCACTGATCCGAAGCCAGGAGCTTCTTCTGGGTCTCCCACGTGGGTGCAGGGGCCCAAGAAGTTGGGCCATCTTCTACTGCTATCCCAGGCCATAGCAGAGAGCTGGATTGGAATAGGAGCAGCTGGGATTAGAACCAGTGCTCATATGGGATGCCAGCGCTTCAGGCCAGAGCTTTAACCTACTGCACCACAGTGCTGGCCCCATAGATTTACTTTATTTGAAAGGCAGAGAGAGATCTTGCACTCACTGGCTCACTCCCCCTGAATGGCTGCAACAGCCAGGGATGATCCAGGCCAAAGCCAAGAGCTTGGAACTCCTTCCAGGTCTCCCACATAGGTGGCAGGGTCCCAAATACTTGGGCCATCTTCTGCTCCTTTCCCAGGCACATTAGCAGGAAGCTGGGTCAATTTGATATGGAATGCTGGCATTGCAGGCAGTGGCTTAACCCGCTGAACCACAACACGGCCCCAGGAGGCAGGCATCTTAATGCACATTCCCAGTTTGTTCTTTGTTGAATGTGCCCCAGAGTCTTGGGTTGGGTCTGTCAGAGGCTCTTAAAATGTGGTCCCTGGGCCAGAAGGTTCAGCATCTCCTGTGAAGTTATTACAAATGCATATTTTCAGGGTTTCTTCAAAACCTGTGCTTCAGAAGCTTAGGCAGCGGGGACGAGCAGGCTGTTCCAGGCAAGCCCTGCAGGAGCTTCTAATGCACACACAAGGGTCCACTTCAGTGGCTCCCAATTCTGACCACGCTGTCCACGTGAGGGGCATTAGTCCTCAGTCACGCCAAGGACGAAACTCACCACTTCAGGGTAGGACTTGGGAACCTAGGTTCTGATGATGAGCCTGGCTTGGCAGCCACTGGTCTACATCACAGTGACACAGTGTGATATGGTAAGCAATTAATTTCCAAATGCCATGTGTCTTTGCCAAGTCATTAAGAGTAGTAAGTGCCTCAGGCACTACATGCCAGACTCTGTGCAATTCGATTGATATCTTCCATCTACTTAGCTCTTCAGAGATTTCCCATTTTGACATTTATTGATGTCACTCACTGTCTCATATCATCACAGCCACCACAAACTGAATGAAACTTATAAGAGCTTAGCAAATTCAAGCCTTGTTATCTTAGCTGCCTGAAAACCTCCCCAAGTTTCAAAATATATTGCAGAGAAAATTGTGCAACCTTGTAATACAAATATGCACCCAATTCAGAACTTTTTCCTGTTTCCTACTTCTTCAAGGAAATAGATTTTTACATGTTAATACAAAATTTTTAACAAATTTAAAAAATTATTTAATGAACAAAATACAGATTTTTCTATCACAGTAACTCAGCATGGTTTTAAATAAACATAAAAATCAGTATAGGAGTAATTAAGGCAATATTATTTTAAAAGCAAAAATACCTTCCAGTGTTGAAAGAACAGATTTATCATAGATTTATTTTCAAGCAATAATATTTTCAATAACTTTCCCATCTTATTATTGTCCCATTCCCTTGATTTATGCAGCTTACCTGCAAGTAATATTGATTGGTCTCTTCTAGGTAATTACAAAAGTTCTTAAGAGGTAACAGCACATGACTTACTTCCTTCGAATTTAAAAAGGCCAGAGCTCCAGTGAGAAGAGACAAAAATGAGTGGTCACTTCAACATTTAAAAAGGCACAATTGTTGGTTAGGATATCTTCAGTTTAGTGGTTAGGGCCAGCAATCTTGGATGATACAAGATCTGATTTTGTGAAGTGGCTACTGCTTCCCAGTTCAATAAAACAAGGAAGCAATTTCACAGTTTTAAGAAAATAGAAAAGGTAGCATTGGTTAAATTACCCTACCCTTGGAGATGTCAAAAAGAAATCACTAAAATTGCCGAATGATAATGGATTATTTTCTGTGATATAGTTTCATCATCTTCAAAGGAAAAAAAAAGCAGCAGAGGAGATTCAGAGGAGGGAACCAAAGAATAGAAGATGTTTCTTTCAAGTAAAATGAAAATAAAGAAATATAAATATTTTAAATTGCGACCCAGCTCCCTGCCACTGCGCCTGGGAAAATAGTACTTGGGCCCCTGCCACCCACATGAGAGACCCCGATGGAGTCAGAGCTTTCTGGCCCATTGCAGCCATTTGCAGCGTGAACCAGCAAATGGAGGATCCCCCCCTTTTTTTTTTCTTTCTCTCTAATTTTGCCCTTCAAATAAATAAATAAATCTTTTTTTTGCAGCGTTTTTAATGTATTTCTTTATAGCCTGTTTTTTTCTGAGCATATATACCATATTGATTATCTCTTTAAAAACAATTTTATACACATAAATATATGTTAATAAGTACAGTTTGAAAATGTGATATTTAGCACTTTAAAAAAGTTATACCATATTGTACATAGGTTGGTTAAATCTTATCACTAGCATTTCTGTTGATTATAGGTTTTTATGTGTTTTTTTTTTTTAACTTTTATAAAGAAATCTTTAAAAAAACAAGCAGAAGGGCATCCCATATCAGAGTGCTGGGTCCAAGTCTTGGCTCTGCTCCCCAGGAGACAGCAGTGATGGTGCAAGTTCTTGAGTCCCTGTCACCCATGGGGAGATCTGGATTGAATTTCAGGTTCCTGGCTTCAGCCTGGCCCAGCCCCAGCTGTTACAGGCATTTGGGGGGTAAATCAGCAGATGGAAGATCTCTGTCTCTCTCTTGCCTTTCAAATAAACAAAAATAAGTACTAATTTTAAGAAGCACAAATCCTTCTGTAGAGCACAAAACCTAGAAGGCAGTATGAATTTAACCATTATACCTGCAGAGATAAAGCCATTAGAGCAAAACAATGTCTAAGGTCCCCTTCTATAGTTCTGTAGAATAAGGAATTTAAAATCATACATATGCAGAAGACTGAAATGTAATATTACAAAAGTGTTTGGAGAAAAAACATACATTCCAGGATTATACAAAGCCCTAAAGTCATCAGTGAAACCATAATAGATCTAACCTCCCCCAAAGTTAAAATACCAGCAAGAGGCTGAATTATTTAACTTAAGGCCAAAGCCTGTGATAAAATGTTTGTACAAATGAAAAAGAAGGAAAAAAAAGGCAAGCCAATAGGAAAACAAAGGATTAGAACAGATAATGTTAATGTGTAAAGATGACAGGGAAATACAAAAACATGCCACGCTCTCACTGGACAGCACCACTACCACATTTGCTGTAGGATGTCCTCACCCCTCAGCAAGCTCATCGCATGTTCCCTGACACTTGAAGTGCCCATCCCTGGGGAGCCTGTCCTACAGCTCTGGACTGGGGGTTGGCTGACTGGACCAGCTCTTGGGCACGGCGGGTATTCTAGAAGGGAAGGCCCATCACCCCAGCCAACGCCCTTTGAGGTATGGCAAGGGAAGCTTGGACACAATGTGGTTCTTCTTACAGTCACACATCACCCTCAAGCACCTGAATGATAAGCCTCAACTGAACTGAGAAAATACTGAATTTTTTTAGAAAATTAGAGTATGTTTTACACACTGGTAGGTTACCACATGCATCAGAAAAAAAAAAAAAAACAGAAAAAATATGTACTTTTCAAAGAATAATTTTCAAAAAGTAAAATTCAGTAAATACAGTTCAGAAGATTTACGTAACTTATTATTGAGTGACCTCAGAGAACCACACAAAAAAGATGCCACAAAAGAATGCAAGGGTAAGATTACAAAGCTAGATGCTGAAGTGGTTGTGCGGCGGTTTGGATTTGAGTGTCTCCCAAAGGTTCCTGTGTTGGGCACTTGGTCTTCAGTGTGGCCAAGTGGGAGCTGACAGAACCTTCAAGAGGCGAGCCCTAGCTGGGAGGGCCCTCGGCTCTGGCGGGGAGTGTGGGACTGCCCTGGGAGGGAGCACGGCCTGAGGAACGTGTTCTCCTGGGAGCACGTGGTCACAGCAGCTGCAGCCGAAGCTGCATCACTCTCGGCTCCTCTTCCCACAGGCACTCTGGCACCCTGAAGCCGTCACCACGAAGTCCTCACCAGAGCCAGGCTGAGACCAGCTGCTTGCCCTTGCATCTCCAGAATCGTAAGCCAAATAAACCTCTCTTCTTCATAGTTACTCTGCCTAATGAAAAACTGAGTAACACTGTTAGTATCCTACAAGGCTTAAAGAAAAATAAATAAATAAAGGTAACCTCCTGTCTGCCAGAGAGAAATAAAATAACTTGCTATCAGATAATCAATAGTGTACAAATTAACATCCCACTCTGCAGAGGCTGGGCGCTGATGGACAGGAAGTGACCTCAGAAAGCGTCAGTTAACCATGTGGTAGGAGTGCTGGACCTGCTCCAGCACCTGGTTCCTCAAACACTGTGGTTCTACAACTCACAGGAATTATGGAAAACATCCAGCAGCCTCTGTTTGTGTCAGCTATCCATTAATGTAACAAATTAAAATCAAAAATTTAAACCTATAAATCCACTTAAAAACATCATAAATCCATCTACCTATTAATCCAACTAACATGTTTAAAGAAAATTCTATTTTCTGATTAAAAAATTAGTGACACCATTTTAGTTCTGCAAATCATTGGGATTTCAAAATAGTTTATTGTTGGCAGTCATCTCAGAGGTGAGAGCAACAATACCAGGATTAAGCAGTGATGGGGTACAGGAAAAGTACCAAGTGTATCTCTAAAACCTCCTAAGTATATCCTTAATCTACTGCCTTAGAAAATTCAAGAAAATGAAAGAATAGTCAAAGGCAGGTTTAACATCACACATCATGTAACTTTTGGAAACTTCACTGTGCACTTGTAACAGAATGAAAGTGAAATAGGCAAATCATGTCTCAGAATTACAAAAAATAGTTTTATAGACCTCAGACCACACTTTGACAAACAGCTACCCCAAAATGACATTGAAATGGCGTGCAGCAACCGATTTTCTTTGAAATAAAGTTTCAGTAAGTTTTTTTAAACATGAGGAGACTTCAAAAAGTTCATGGAAAAAGAGAATAAAATGCTAAGTTTATTTTGGTGCAAAAAATCTTTTATATCCATGCATATGAGGAGTTTTAGAAATAATTCATGGAAACTGCATACTATGAAAATACTAAGAATGGATTTCAATTTTTTTTGGCACATTTTTTGAACTATCCTTGTATATTTACATACACATGAATACTCATGATATTGTGAACCCAACTGCAAAGCAGTATCTGATGTAAAACCAAAATGTATGTGTTTACTTATAAATACATGTATTTTAAAAGTTAAGAAATATACACCAAACTGTTAGTAATTGTATTCCTGGGGAATATAATGGGGACACAACAAACTTCACTTTTTATCTTACACACTGCTGGATTATTTGAATGTTTACAATAACATATTATTCTTGCCACTAAAAGCCAAAATAAGACTAAAAACAAGGTAATAACAGATGTGCTGACTAAATGCAACGTGGTATTCCAGCCTGAATCCCCAAAAATGACATGGGGGAAAACTGATCAAATCCAAAGAAAGCCTGTAGCTTAGCTTTAAAAATTAAATTAAAAAAGAAATACAGAAAAGCCTAAAAGATTAAACACAAATACAAGCGGGCTTAATAAAGTTCATGGAAAATGTGCCTTCTCTTTAAAAAATATTTTTGAGACAACATATTTTTAATTTATATTATAGTCAAAATCTTATGGGCTCCACTGAATAAAGAATTCACAGATAAAAAGTAAAAAGACCATAGTCCACCAGGAAAAGAGCATGCCTTATCTTTTCATTGCCCTTTTCCATAAACTTCTTGAAGTACTACTCTCTTATGTTACAGTTCAGGAAATGGCACTGCTAATAGTCAGAGATGGAATTACCAGAAACTGGCATGCGGAAACCTTCACACAACCTGTGAAAGGGAAGACACAGTTTTTTGGGGGTGGGGTGAGGTATAAAGACTGGTTTACCAGGTCCACACAAGACCCAGAAAGTGTTCCGAACATGAGCCACACTGCCTTTTCACAAGATGCACTACCTGCGGTGTAGTCTATGGCAACAGCTCTTAACAGATTGCAATTTGGGGTTTTTCCCCCAGGAGCTCTATACATTCTGAGTAATCTCTTTTCTTTTTTATTCCATTTATTCACTTTAACCTATTTTCTCCTCTCCCCATCATTCGCTCCCTGTTTCACTCCCCACAAGAGGTCTCCAGCTCTGCTTAAGACTGCTCTGGAGCAAATCTGCCCCTTGGAACACCCCCTTCTCCTCTGGCAGAGCGACCCCTCCACTTCAGCCTTGTTGACCAGCAGCAGAGGGAGTGAGGAGGGGCTGTGCGGGTTGAGACGCCATCACCAGGGGAACTGCCCTGACCTGTGGTACCAGCACGGCTTCCCCTCCCACCCAGAGCCCACTAGACACCTACACTTAGCAAGCAAGTGCATGCTTCGGGACTTGGCACCACCATGCTCACATTTACATCAAAGCACGTTGCCCAGGCTCACAACTGAAATGTCTGGTTTTTCACGGAAAAGAGGAAAGTGATAATAACAAACACGATGAACGGCTTGTGCTTTTGAATACATCCGAAATAGTTTTCCAACATGGCACTTTGTTTTCCAAGGCATAAATGGATTACTACAGAATGATCTCAATTTGACTGCAGAAGCTGACAGTATTAAGCATTTTTTTTTTCCCTCCAAAAAGTCCTTATACGAAATACACAGGGATAGAAAAGTATGACACCTGGGCCAGAGAGAAATGGGTGAAGTACAGATGGAAACAAGACAGGTCACAAACGGATGAAGGGCAGAGGTCACCTGATGGGTGGGAAGAGGGCTGTTATCACATTACTCTGTGCTCCTACTTGTTGGAAATTTTCCAAAATAAAATGGTTTTTTGAAAAGGTATAAAAGGAGAAAAAGATTTTATTCAAAGATCTTTGCTCAAAAAAACTAAGGAATAGGAGATTCAGTTAAAAGTCTGGATGAAACCAATTGACTACCTCTCTCCCTTATGCTCCAAATCCCTGGAAATAATACCTTTAAAAAGAATTAAAGGGGCAGGCATTTGGCTTAGTGGTTAGTCGCCTGTGTTCTATATTGGAACGCCTGGGTTCAAGTCTTGCTTCTAGCTTCCTGCTAATGTGCATCCTGGGAGGAAGTGTGGTGGCTCAAGTGACTGGGTTCCTGCCATCCACATGGGTGGTCCAGCACTAGCCGCTGTGGGCATCTGAAGGTCTCTCAAATACATCTCCACCTGCGTCCAGCTCCCTAACGCACCTGGGAAAGCAGTGGAGGTGGCCCAAGTGCTTGGGCCCTTGCGCCCACATGGAGACTCAGAAGAAGCTCCTGGCTCCTCTCTGAGTGTTGCGGTCATCTGGGGGAGTGAACAAGAGGATGGAAGCTTGCTTGTTCTCTGTCACACTCTCTCTCTCTCTGTCATTCTACTTTTCAAATTAATAAATATTTTAAGAAAATAGAAAAGAGAAATAATCAGATTGGTGTCTGACTTCAATCAGCAATATCAGATGTTAGCAAACAATCATATTACAGCTTCAAAATGCTTAAGAAATCATTTTAATATTTTATTTATTTATTTGAGAGGTAGAGTTACAGACAGTGAGAGACAGAAAGGTCTTCCTTCCATTGGTTCACTCCCCAAATGGGCACAAGGGCTGGAGCTGTGCCGTTCCAAAGCCAGAAGCCAAGTGCTTCCTGGTCTCCCACGTGGGTGCAGGGGCCCAAGTATTTGGGCCATCTTCTACTGCTTTCCCAGGCACAGCAGAGAGCTGGGTTGGAAGAGGAGCAGCTGGGATTAGAACCGGCGCCCATATGGGATGCTGGCACTGCAGGCGGAGGATTAACCTACTGTGCCATGGCACCAGCCCCCAAAATTATTTTGAACCTAAGATCCTAATTAAAATTTTTTTTCAAATTTAATTACCTGAAGATATGTTTCAATAAACTAGAAAACCAATTCTGGGATGCAAGAATAGCAAAGTGAAGAAAACAATAAAGTCATACTTGTCTAATAACTATGCTAGATGTTAAAACACACACACGTCCCAAGGTAAGAGAGATTCATCCAAAACTAAAATCGCACATGATCACACTGCAAGAAGAGGCTGAGGTGGGAATGTGAAAGAGTGCTAAGGTTATTGACTTCCTTGGGAGATGGAAAGATCAGGCAACTGATTAACTCTAAACCTAGAGTAACCACAAAGGAACAGTAGTGTATTTAATTGTTCCCAAACCACTAAAAGGAAAAACAAGGAGGAAAAATTGCACTCAATCAAACCCATAAAATGCTGATATAAAAATAACAAAAAAGGGGCCTGGTGCTGCAGCGTAGAGAGTAAAGCCGCTGCCTGCAGTGCTGGCAGCCCATATGGGCGCCGGTTCGAGTCCTGGCTGCTCCACTTCCAATCCAGCTCTCTGCTACAGCCTGGGAAAGCAGTGGAAGATGGTCCAAGTCACTGAGCCCCTGCACCCATGTGGGAGACCTGGAAGAAGCTCCTAGCTCCTGGCTCCTGGCTTTGGATCGGCGCAGCTCCAGCCGTTGCAGCCAATTGGGGAGTGAACCAACAGATGGAAGACCTCTTTCTCTCTCTGTGTGTAACTCTGACTTTCAAATAAATAAATAAATCTTTAAAAAAATATTACATACAGAAACACAAAATCAGGTGGCTAGGTCCCAGCATTTCAATTAATATGAATGGATTAAATTCCCAGAGACACTTAAGTTGAACTGTCAAAAAGCTATTTTGACTATGTTAGTTGTGGAAAGTAGAAGTCAAATACTGAAAACAAAAAAGAGTATTTCATAGTTACCAATATAGAAGGTACAACACCATCATAATGCTTTCCAACTCAGAAATCAGCTGATTAAACAGACAGTAAAAAAAATGTAGAAAACTTAAGCAATCAACAAGCTAAATACAAAACCCTACATCCAAAAATACACACAGCACCTCCACCCCTTAAAACTCAATTACCAATATTAACTATGTATCCCATAAAGCAGGAACCATACAGGGTATATTATACCACTTAGGAACTTCACACTCACTTTTAAATAATTCCTGGTTTAAATATAAGGGTAAATGAACCTGAAATTATCCATCAGAAATAAACAAAGGTCACCACAGCCAGACGTAGCCAACACAATACTCAGAGGAGCATTTTCAGCTTTAAATATATTTATTAGAAAATAAATTGAAAATAAAGCTGTTTGTACAATGTACCTTCAATCAGTGACTGTCAACATTCGTGGAGACATGGTAGTCCATGAGAGGAATCCAGGAGTCTGTGAATTCATTGACGAATGGTAAGTCTGTGGGATCTGCAAGCGTCAGTGACAGAACTGCAGCTTTGTTTTAGAAAATCAACTCAGTGTGAAACATTACTTTATCCTGATTAGATGAATTAGGCTAGGAATCACAGTGTTGAATATGTAAAAATTAAAAGCTCCTTGCAGTCAGGCAAGGCCTTACTCATTTTTATACCTTGAATACAGGCACAGTGGAGGCACACAAGTAAACAATTCACAATGTTCTAGGAACTGAACTAAATACTGTATTAGGCAGATAATCTTCCAAAATGTGGGAGCTCAATGGAGGAGTAGGGTGAAACAGAACAAAGAGGTTTGTATGGTGGCGACAAGGTTGACAGAACAGTGACTAAGCAGGAATGTTAACCTTAGGTCTGAGAGGTCATTAGTGTTACTAGTTGCCAGGCCTTCCAGGCTTCTGCAGAGGGTCTTACCAGCAGACAAGAGGGGAGAAGTCTTTCTTATCTTTTCTCTTACCAGCAAGATTCATGAACTTCAACAATCACATAGCAGATGAAATTTTTTAAAACCTATCCCATTATCTCTATGTCAGAAGGGCAGAGCTATAGTTATAGCCAGCGTAAGGACTAGAACATGAGATCAAATTCTCCCATATTACAGGAGACAAAAAGATCTCAGTAACTTTGATTTAAAAAATTTTTAGAGTCCCACTACTACTTGCATAGGATAAGTAAAGCCTTAAAATTGAGATTATTCAGATTATCTCACAAACCACTGTTTCTGTTTTAAGAAATGAGTTGAACCTCATCAAATACTATCTTGACATACTTTCTCATGGGTAAAAAAAAGGCCCAATTCTGAAACATACCAAGAAGAAGCACTTCAATTTAAGTCTAAACATACATAGGTCAAAGCAAATTGAATCTAAACACAGAGCCCATATCTATACCAGTATTTCAAACATTCAATAAGCTATGTTAGGTGAGTTTCAATATGCCTTTAAAAATAAACAGGAATATTTCCAAGTCCTGATTATATTAACTTGACCTGGTTTATTTTGAAAATATTTCCCCTTGCTATAGTCAAATAAAAACTCTTCCTTTCCTGTACTAAAACAGAAAGGCTGGAGAGGGTGCTGTCATGCAAGGTTTAAGATGCCACTTAGGATGCTGGTATCCCACACTGGAGTGCCTTGGTTTGAGTCCTGACATACTCTTCTGATCCAACTTCCTGCTAATGTGCACCCTGGGAGGCAGCATTCCTGGCTTTAGCCTGGCCCAACCCTGGCTGTTGCAGGTATTTGGGGAGTGAACCAAGAGATGGAAGAGAGAGACTATGTGTCGCTTCCCTTTTCAAATAAATAAATACAGCTTAAAAAAAAAAAAAGCTGTATTTCTCTAACTGTGCTTAGCTATACTGAATATTTTAAAAGCTTTCTTCTTTAACACTAAACCAGTTACTTCAATTCTTAACTAGTCTACCAGCAATCTTCCTTACCTGAGAGCAATACAACTAAAAAGGAAAATTCTCCCACTAAATATTATATACAATCTGAACAACACAGAGTACACAGTTTTTAAAAAATCAGTGATGTATTTATTTGCAAGGACTCAAAGGAAAGACTTGAAGATCCAATGTAATCTCCTGTGAGGCTTACAATTTAATTAATCCAGTTTTGGGAGAAAAGGGGGTTTTGGTTTGCTGCCACTGACTTGGGGCTGGTACTATTTTACATGCTTCAGTTATGTGTGTAGAGGCATCATACATCTTGAGTTTTTTCAGAATTAGTATCAAGTCCAAAAAAGTCTTTTTTGATGATGTACCGAACACACTGCAAAATCACATTTCTTTCATGCCGAATGTCTGGAGCGAGAAGCTTAAAAAAAAAATTAAGATTAGCTGACAAACAAAACATATGTGGGAAACACAGTCTAAAATATCAGGTATGTCTTCCCATAGAAGGAACACACAAGAATAAGAAATGTGAATCATATTAAGCAATTATTTTCTGAGAATATTTTCTCATACCAAGATTATGTAGCTTGTTACACAGAATACATGTTCACACTTAGGGTCTCTGCTAGAAGCTTCTAGCAAAGGACAAGACAACAGGCTCAAAAACCTGTGATTCTTTAATCTAAAAATATGGCAAAGAGGATCTACTCCCTCAAACTAAAATCTCTAGTCTAGAAACTGGTAAGTAGATATTTTTAAAAATGATAACAATGAAACCACAGTAAAAACCCCAACATTCCCTGTTTTTCATAGCTTCTCATTTTTGTGCTTACTATAATTGAAAGAAAGCTAAAACTCCCTGGTATTCAGAGTAAGTACATAACCAAGGAGTGACATGTGATTTGCCAAAAATGAACTTAAATAGTCTTTTTACAGAATATCAATAGCTTGTTAACTCCAAAAAATGTGGAATACATAGAATGTTTCTATTACTCTTAGTCATGAAAGTTGATCTTTCAACGGTTTCATGTCCATTTCTTAAAATCAAAAGATGCACTGCTTCCTCTTTACGAATTTTTTTAAAGAACAATATTAGATTTTTAAAGCACATAATGCTGAGAATAAATTAAAATATGCAAAAGAAAAGTAAATAAAGGTATAGAAAGAGAAAACAATGAAGCCAATCTCTAAAGACAAGAAGTGGGCATTGTCAAGAAACTTTAGCTCTTTAGTTCCCACTATCTTGTGGTTTAATAGAAATTTGTATTAAAATCTTTTCTTTCTTTTAGCCTACCATTGAATCTAGATATGCTATTAAAGAAAACTTTAAAAATATCAATAAATCTCAATACATATTTCCTTAATAACCATTCAAACCTAGATTTTAAGCAGCTTTGAAAATTGAAATTTTTCCACATTTACCGAACACCAGCTATATGCCAAATGCAGCCTCAGAATTAAGATAAATAGACAAGTCTTCAAGGACCATATGTCTCAGCTAACCTGAAAACACATGCACACCAAGAAAACCCCAGTGGCTCTATGTTGCCTGCAGTGTAAAGAAAAATCCCTTACCATTTCCAGGAGATATGGATGGTGTGTTCTTGGTTCAAATAATGTCTGATAGTTAGGATAATTTTTTTTCCTCTGAGGGTTTGTCTTTTTAAAACTTTTCTTTTGGTTCTCACACTTGGCTTCTGAGAAATTTGTAACAGTTGCTTTAACATCTTGCCTTGGATTCTCAGGAGTAGTGCTAGGAAGAAACTGGTTTTCCGCCAGAATGTCTGCTTCAGTCTTGATTGGAGTTTCTAAGCATGATAAAAAACACATAAATAAAAAACAAATCTAAAAAAAGGTAGAATTTTTTAAAATAATCAAAACAGCCATAACAATCTCTCACTAGTTACTTAATTAAGTAGCTACTGGCTACTTAATTACTTAAAACCATGAGAGATTTTGCAAGGCATTGACAGTGTATACCAATATTTTTCAAATAGGGAGCTCTAACTGCCAAGAATGGAGATTACCACAAAGAGCTACAGAACATGCTCCCTGTGAAGGAAATAATACCAGATGGAAACTTGGATCTATACAAAGGAATGACAAATGCCGGAAACAGTAAATGTGTGGATAAACACCAAAGACATTTTTTTCTCATATGAAAAACAATGAAAAGATAGTTGACTATTTAAAGCAAAAATAATATTTGTATTATTTCTTGTGACTTGTAATATCTCAGGAGATAAAATCTGTAACAATAGCACAAAGGAAGGAAGAAGAAAGCACACTGCTGTAAAATTCTTAAAATTACACATAAAGTAGATATTATTTGAAAGCACACTGTGATAAGGTAAAAGTTACATACTGTACTCTAGATAAACTCCTAAAAAATAAGAGGTATAATTAATAAATCAATATTTGCACTGTCCCCCAAACAGAATTAATCCAAAAGATAAGTAGGACAAGAAAAATAGAACGAAAATAGCTAAGACAAATGAAACAAGCCATAAAATAAGTACAGTATGTGTGTAAGTGTTCTAAATACCCCACTAAAAAGGCAGGGACGTTAAGACTGGAAAAAAAAATAAGACCCAACTGTATAATGTCTATCTTGATTTAAATGCAAGTAGTCCTTTACACAGCTTGAACGGAGATTAAATCTCAGTTACCAAGGAACCGTGCAGAGAGGGCTGCCTGTATAAAGTCACAGGTTAAAAGTAAAAGGATAGAAGATACTATGACACATCAATCACAATCAAGCTGGATTGGGTACATCAATATAAAAACAAAACAAAACAAAACAAAACAAAAAAACACTTCAGAACAAGGAGTATCACACCAGGGATAAAGAGGGACACAAATACAAAGACGCTAGCATAGATATCATAATCTTAAAGAGGTCAACTCATCGAAAACACAAAAACAATAATGCTTAATAACAGATTTGCAGGATATAAACAGCCAAACTAATAGACCTGAAAGGGTTGGAGACTTAACACTCCACTGTTGGTAACTGAAGAACAATTAGAAAATGAGGGTTATATAGAAGATCTGAACATCACTAACAACTCAAATAGTCAAAGAACACTTGGCCCAAAACATATTCCTATCAAGTTCATATAAACATGTATCTTATGTTGGGCCATAAAACAAGTCTCAATAGACATGAAAAACTGAAAGTGTACGGAGTTCTCTGATCATAGGAGAATCATTAAAAGGAGCTAGAAATTTAGAAATATATATTGGGTCTTCCTCCTGTTTCCTGGCATGTAACTCCTAAAATCCTTGGAATCTTCAAAGTGATACCTTGTCTTTCGTAGGCTAGAATCACCTAGGAGCTTCAGGCTGGGGGCTAGTCACTTTCAGCCCAACTCCCCAACCTCTGGGGAGAGGAGAGAAGCTGGACAGCACCAGTCAGTGATTCAATCACACTTACGTCACAGAGTCTGCATAAAAACTCAAAAGGACAGAGTTCAGAGAGTTTCCAGACAGCTAAGTATGCAGAGGTTGCTAAAGGGCAGTACAGCCCAAGAGGGCATGGAAGCTCAGGGCACCATCCTCCTATCGCTTCATCTCCTCCTGTTCAGCAGAATCTTTTTTTTTTTTTTTTTTTTGACAGGCAGAGTTAGACAGTGAGAGTGAGAGAGAGAGAGAGAGAGAGAGAAAGGTCTTCCTTCCGTTGGTTCACCCCCCAAACGGCCGCTGCGGCCGGCACTGTGCCTATCCAAAGGCAGGAGCCAGGTGCTTCTCCTGGTCTCCCATGGGGTGCAGGGCCCAAGGACTTGGGCCATCCTCCACTGCACTCCCGGGCCACAGCAGAGAGCTGGACTGGAAGAGGAGCAACCGGGACAGAATCCAGCACCCCGACCGGGATTAGAACCAGGGGTGCCGGCGCCGCAGGCGGAGGATTAGCCTAGTGAGCCGCGGCACCGGCCCCAGCAGAATCTTTTGCAATATCCTTTACAATAAACCAGGAATACATGCGAATGCTGCTCTGAGTTTTGTGAACTGCTCCAACAAATTAACCAAAATCAAAGGGAACCCCAATTATAGCCATCCAGTCAGCACAAAAGTAAAACAACCTGAGACTTGCAATTTCTTCTGAATGAGGGTGGGAGGGATGCCAGCCTTGGAGATGAGCCCTCAACCTCTGGAATCTAACATTGTATACAGTGTTGGACTGGACTTGAGTAAGGGGAAATTCAGTTACATGTGCTGCAGAACTGGTAGCCTGTTTGGGGGGGGGGGGCAACCACCATACATTTGGTAAGAGAAGTGTTCTGTGTTGATTGCTAATACACATATAAAGAAAAATTACATTTGTTCTTTTCCTACATCTTCACAGTGATCCATGTTAGAGAACAAAGCACAAGAGAAATTAGGACATATTTCACAATAAATAAAAATGAAAACATAATGTGTCGGATTTGTGAGATGCAGCTAAAGCAGTGCAGAGGGCAAATTTAGAGCTTTGACTGCTTAATTAGAAGTGATGAAAAGATGAAAAAAAGGAAAAAAAATTAATAAATGACAAGAAGCCTAAAATTAATTATCTAAGCTTTCAATGTAATAAGAGGGAAAGAGAAAAATAATAAAAAGCAATGACAAATAGAATTTAATAAGCAAAGCCAGAAGTTGGTTCCTTGAAAAGATTAATAAAATTAATTGCTAGCAAGACTAATCAATAAACAAAGAAATATCAATTAATATGAGAAACAAAAGAGAAGACATCACTATAGATTCTATACCTATCACAAGGAATATTATGACCAATTATTCACACCAATAAATTCAACAATTTAGGTAAAAATGACAAATTCTTTGGAAAAGCACATGATCAAAACTTACTCAAGGAGAAATGGGCAATCTGAGTAGTCTTGTGTCTGTCAAGAAAATTTAATTCATAATTTAAAGCCTTCCCAAAAAGAAAATGCCAAGTTCCGATGGCTTCACTACTGAATTTTATCAACAAGAGGAGATGCTGAGGGAAAACACTTAACCAAGAAGAGGAGGAAACAGATCCAGACAGACACCAAATCCACTATAAAGAAAAATACAGACTAGTATCCCTCACAACACAAATGCAAAAATCCTTAATAAAATATTGCCAAATTAGGGGCCAGTGCTGAGGCACAGCACGTTAAAACCCTGGCCTGCAGCACCAGCATCCCATATGGGTGCAGGTTCGAGTCCTGGCTGCTCTTCTTAGACTCAGCTTTCTGCTATGACCTGGGAAAGCAGTGGAGGATGGCCCAAGTGCTCCTGGCTCCTGGCTTCAGAATGGCCCAGCTCCAGCCATGTGGGGAATGAAACAGTGGATGGAAGACCTCTCTCTGTCTCTACCTCTCTCTGTAACTCTGTTTTTCAAATAAATAAAATAAATATTAAAAAAAATTTGCCAAATCAAGTCCAGCAATGCATTATAATGTTAACTGTTGTGGCACAGCAGTTTAGCCACAGCTTGGGACTCCTGGAGCCTGGGGTGGAGCCTCCACTTCGACCCACCTTCCTGCTAATATGCATCTTGGGAGGCAGCAGGTGATGGCTTAAGTACCTGTCATTCACATGGGAGACCCAGACAGAGTTTCTGGTTCTTGGTTTAGGCTGGCCTCCCTCTTCCCTTCCCTTCCTGTCTCTACCCCATCACTCTGCCTTTCAATTAAACAAAACATAATTAAAAAAAAAAAAAGATAATAGACCATACCAAGCAGATTGTATTCCAGGAATATAGGTTGGTTTGACATTTCAATCACTTTATTTCGCCATATAAATAGAGAAAAACTATAATTAAGACAGTTGAAAATTCTAAGTGTTAAGACAGGAATCTGGCCGGTGCCGCAGCTCACTAGGCTAATCCTCCGCCTTGCGGTGCCAGCACACCGGGTTCTAGTTCTGGTCGGGGCACCGGATTCTGTCCCGGTTGCCCCTCTTCCAGACCAGCTCTCTGCTGTGGCCCGGGAGTGCAGTGGAGGATGGCCCAAGTGCTTGGGCCCTGCACCCGCATGGGAGACCAGGAGAAGCACCTGGCTCCTGGCTTCGGATCAGCACAATGCACCGGCCACGGCGGCCATTGGAGAGTGAACCAACGGCAAAGGAAGACCTTTCTCTCTGTCTCTCTCTCTCACTGTCCACTCTGCCTGTCAAATATAAAATAAAATAAAAGACAGGAATCTTCACCACTACTACTTCCAAATTGCTATTTTTAAGAGTAGAAGAGTCTAACAATATCCCTCAAAACCCTCCACACTCAAGTATTACATAAGACTGAATGAACATATAGGGAAATATTAGAAACCCTGACTCTGTGGGCAGACTGTTAAGTTCAAGTCCTAGTTCCATGACTTGTGGGCTATGTGACTTTGGGGGAAGCTACTCATCTCTGCCTAAATTTCCTCTTCTGTAACATGGAGATAAAACAATGGCACCTACTTCATAAGCTTGTTGAGATAATTAAATCTGTAACTGTCTGGTTTGAGTACCAACTCTGCTCCCAGTGCCAGCTTCCTGCTAATGTGCACCCTAGAAGCAGCAAGGGATAGCTCAAGCACTTGGGTCCCTGCCACACGCATGGGGGACCCGGACTGAATTTCGAGCTCCTAGCTTTGGCCTGGCACAGCCCTGGTTGTTGCAGGTATTTGGGGAGTCAACCAGTGGTTGAACATCTCTGTCTCTCTGCCTTTCAAATAAATACATAATACAGAAGACTACCTCTCTTCATTTAGAATCCATTTAAATAAGCAACCTTCTAGATATTACCATCTACTGATTTATGCCTCAAATGCCTGAAATGGCCAGGAGGCCAAAGTGGGGATCCAGGAACTAAATCCAGATTTCCCAAAGGTGCTCACAGTTCTGAGAATGAAGGTGTGAGGCCTCAAAGACCTTTTCTAGTTTCCATTCTTCCTTGCTATTGAAAATGGTGACAGTCTCAAAATAAAGACATGAATATAAAAGTATTAAATGTTTCATCTTCAGAAAGAAAAGGAGAAGAAAGCATTAGTCCACCTTGTTTTTATGGAATTCAGTAATCTGTTAATAGTTTTGTTATCAGCTATTGTAAACAGAACCAATAAGTGGGAAATGTAATCTATGTTTAAAGAATAACTCCATCTTCATATCAGGGTATTAGAAACATGAGTAAGAAATAAATACTGTTTTTCTTAAAATCTAAAAAAAAAAAAAGAGAGAGAGAGAGAAATGAGGCAACTAGTTGTTAAATAATACCCTGATAAAGCCAAAACACTTTAGATTTCAAAATTCAAGGAGTTTCTAATAAGCTACCAGAGTAAGCCACAGCCTGTTTAAAAAGGGGAAAATTCCCATGTTACAGATAGGCATAAACATTACCTTTCAAATTAAAGCCAAACTCTTCCTTATTCAACGTCCTCCAGCTGCACAGTCACCTTTAAAAGTGCCACCACCTTCATCCAATCACATTCACACCTTCTCTTCATTTTATACACTTTAAGACTCGCATTTTTAATCCCCTGAGCAGTTCCTACATTGACACATCTCCTGAGCTAGACGCACAGAATAGAAAGCTAGAGCTCTTCACTCCTGCTATGGCCTGGCCTAGCTCTAGCCATTGTGGTCGTCTGGGGAGAGAACCAGTGGATGGAGGACCTCTCACCCTGTCTTCCCCTGTCCATAACTCTCTTAGATAAATAAATAAATCCTTAAAAAAAATCTTGGATTAAAAATTGCCATACTTGGGGCCGGCACTGTGGCACAGTGGGTTAATGCCCTAGCCTGTAGTTGCTGGCATCCCATTTGGGTGCCGGTTCTAGTCCCAGCTGCTCCTCTTCCGATCCAGCTCTCTGCTATGGCCTGGGAAAGCAGTAGAAGATGGCCCAAGTGTTTGGACCCCTGCACCCACGTGGGAGACCTGGAAGAAGCTCCTGGCTCCTGGCTTTGGATTGGCTCAGCTCCAGCCATTGCGGCTATCTGGGGAGTGAACTAGCGGATGGAACACCTCTCTCTTTGTCTCTACCTCTCTGTGTAACTCTGTCTTTAATTGCTGATTTCTCAGAAAGACTCCTGAAAGGATTACATTGCTTGCAACCTTTAGAACACACAAGACGTAACCACAAGAACAGGGCTGTTGTGTTTTCCAAATGAGGTAATTTAGGTAAACATCTATAAAGAGCAATGCCCTATATACATTTTTTTTCTTTTTTTATTTTTTATCTTTTATTTAATGAATATAAATTTCCAAAGTACGACTCATGGCCTATATACATTTAAACATTTTAATCATCCCCTTTGTCATAAAGGACCTCTTGCCACCTAACAAAGGTGCTACAAACTCATTATGACAAGGGTTCTTCAGAGCAGAAGAAGAACTGAATTTTCTTTGTGCTCTTTTGGAATTTTCTACAAGTCTCGGTATATTTTCTGTTCTCCTTCTTGTTTTTTCATTATATTGAATTACTTTTACCTTTTTCTCCCCAGAAGTAGCAACACATTTCCCCCAGCATTCTTTTGTCATGATAACTTTACTTTTTATTATTTTCAAACAAAAAAGGAATTTGAATGTTCAAGCAAATAAGGTACATACTGGATGCTATTAACATACAATCTATACCAGAGGCAAAAAGCACCAAAACATACCTCACTGTAAAACCGAGGCCATGACTTACCTTCTGGCTCGCTCTCTGACCCTGACAGATTGTCATAGCTGCTCATCAGAGAGCATAAGGCTGGCGTCACTTCCTTGGGTATGACAGTTTGCTGTGGTTTCTCCTCCTTATCGGATTCTGAAACAGAAGAGGAAAGAATCTTTCAAACATGTATCCCAAAGCATCTACCACCACAAAAAAGAAAGCTGACAGATCCCTGCTTCCTCATCTGTTAGTGAAAAAAAAGTAACTTCTAAACATTTCCCTCACCCTTCCCAAAAAACTAATTCCAGGGGACCTGAAAAATTTCCCCTTGGTTTAAGTCTTCATGAGCAGAGAAGCTCTCAGCCCCAGAGGAGACAGACAGGCAAATGAAAGCCACATAATTCAGTTATCTATCATGCTTCACAGGCTGTAGAATTTGGGCCTTCTCTAAACTAACTTAATTACACAGCCTTTGCTATTAATTTACAGGTAGAAGTACGAACAAAAATTTATTTAATTTCACTGGATCAGAATCATTATCTTTGAAAACTAAATTTAGGAATAAATAAAATATAAAAATATCTACCCCTAATCAAAAAGCAATGCTGAAATGAATCCACCCAGTTTTTATTATTTAGAACTTCTAAGAACTTAAGTAAACAAGCCAACCATGAGAATTTAGCAAGTACTAAAGAGCCTGCCAAAGGTGAAGTGTTTGATCAGAGCCCAAGCAAGCCTGGTTGTAGCCCCAGGACACCACCTATTAAATTTATTTTTGGCAGCTCTAAAAACATATTAACTCTATTCTGAACAACCAATAAAAATAAAGCCTGGCTGAAAACAATAAGTAACTTGTCTATTTAATGAACCAACTCAACCCACAACCAGTATGAAATGTTTCAAGTCTGAATATTCAGCGTTCACTAAGTCTAGGAGAAGCCAAAACATGCCAGTAGGAAATGAGAGCACCCTTTTATGTGAATGCTGAACCAGCACCTTCTGTTGGATGAAGTCAAACCCTCCTCCATCTCCCCACACTACCCAGCACCACACACACACACTCTCTCTCTCTCACACACACACACACACACGCTCCCGCAAAACCACTGCTTCTCAATTTTAAGCTAAATTATTACCTTTTCTTCTGGATTAATAGAGGGAATGGAAAATATATATTTTACAGTGTATTAAAGAGAAATCTACCATAATGTTACTATGAAGATTGTTCATCCAGTGTTTGAATGATCAAAAACCAAACTAGAGCATCTCCTTCCAAGACCCAAAGAAAGGTATCAGAAAAGTAAAATAAACAGTTGAATATTATGCTCTTTAAAAGCATGATCAAATTGGGCCAGATTTAAATCCTGGCTATTTGACTCCAAATCTCAATCTTTAATTAGTGAACCTCCTACAGAAATAGAAAATGTGTGCAACAGCTGGGACTGGGCCAGGCTGAAGAGTCAGGAACCAGGAACTCAATTACTGGAGCCATCTCTGCTCCCTCCCAAGGTCTACGTGGGCTGGAAGCTTGAATCAGGAGTCAGAGGCAAGCATAAATTCCTGATCGGGACACAGACATCTTAACCAGTATCTTAATCAAGAAGTTAAATGCCCACCCCTAAAATATAGTTATGATCAAAAGTAATGCTAATAACGTCTTCTTCACTAGTAGTTCCATTTCTGTGTTCCTTTTTATAATAAAATCTCAAACACTTAGGTGATAAAATTCACCAGGGAAATCAATTTTCTACTGCTGCCTGACCCACTCCAGGATCTATTCCAATGGGTCTTTCAGGCCCATCATACCAGTGAAATTTTTTTCTTCCCAGAAATTTTCTGGTAGCTGCGCCAGCAAATTTAGAATTCATTGCTTGGTTCTCATCTTAGCTAACTTAGCAGCAGTATTTGACAGTGCATGATCATCTATTTTGTAAACCACCTTCTTCACCTGGCTTCCAGAACCTCCTCATTTGGCTCTCTTTTCCCCAGTCTTCCAACTGAACTCTCCTCACTGACCAACTTCCAAAATTACAGAGTGCCCTTAGATCTCTTAAAAAAAAAAAAAAAAAAAAAAGGCCATCGCCATGGCTCAATAGGCTAATCCTCCACCTTGCGGCGCCGGCACACCGGGTTCTAGTCCTGGTCAGGGCGCCGGATTCCGTCCTGGTTGCCCCTCTTCCAGTCCAGCTCTCTGCTGTGGCCCGGGAGTGCAGTGGAGGATGGCCCAAGTGCTTGGGCCCAGCACCCACATGGGAGACCAGGAGAAGCACCTGGCTCTTGGCTTCAGATCAGCGCGATCTGCCGGCCACAGCGGCCATTGGAGGGTGAACCAACGGTAAAGGAAGACCTTTCTCTCTGTCTCTCTCACTGTCCACTCTGCCTGTCCAAAAAAAAAAAAAAAAAAAAAAAAAAAAAAAAAAAAAGATTTATTTATTTGAACGGCTAACAGAGAGAAAGGGAGACCAGGGGAGAGGAAGAGGGATAGATCTTCCATTTGCCAGTTCACTCCCCAAGTGTCCCCAACCATGACTGTGTCAGAAACTCCCCCTGAGTCTCTCATATGGGTGGCAGGCACTCCAGTACTTAAGGCATAATCTGCTGCTTCTCAGGCACATTAACAGAGAGCTGGATTGGGAGCAGAGTAGCCAGGATTTGAACCAACACTCTAATAGGGGATGCCAGGGTCCCAAGCAGTTGGACAACTTGTTGTGCCACAAGACCTACCCCTCTCAAATTAAATTCTGATGGACCTTTTTATACCTCTCTTTTCCAGGATATCATGTTATGTTAAATCTTAAAAAAAAAAAAAAAACTATCTATATACTGGTGAATCATGAATTTCCATCTCTAGTCTTCAACTGTCCCCTAAACTCCAAAATAATCTTAACTACTTGGTCAACATCTTATGTAGATGTCAAGCAGGTATCTCAAGTATACCATGTCCAAAAACAAACACTTCATTTCTACTTGGAACATGAGCTCCAGTATTCATCTTGAAAAATGCCAAGTCTTTCTTCTTAAGGGTTAGGCCAAAAACCTAGCAATTATCCATGACTCTCACATACCATATCCAATCAACCAACAAATGCTGTCAGCTCTATTTAGAAAATAGTTCTAGAATCATACTCCCCACTACTTCCACTATAACCTTAGTCCAAGGCAACATTTTTTGCCTGAACAATTCTAACAGCTTTCTAAGACATCCCTGATACAACCCTGCCTACCCCTCTTTATAGTCCATTCTCCACCTAAACACACAAATCAGATTATATCACCACTCTGCTCAACCTTAAATTAAAACCCCCAAATCCTCTTTGGCCTACAATGCCAATGGATCTGGTCCTCATTTGTCCCGTAACAAATCCAACCACTTTCCAAAGATTTATTTATTTACTTGAAAGTCAGAGCTACAGAAACAGAAAGAAAAACAGAGTGAGAGATCTTCCATCTGCTAGCTTACTCCCCAGATGGTCGCAACAACCCAGTCTGGGCCAAGCCAAAGCCATGATCCAGAAGCTTCATCCAGGTCTTCCACATGGATGGCAGGGACCCCAGTACTTAAGCCGTCTTCCACTGCTTTTCCCAGGCCATTAGCAGGGAGCTGGACTGGAAGTGGAGCATCTGGGACTTGAACACTGGCCCATAAGGGATGCCAGCATTGCAGGCAGCTTTACCTGTTTCGCCCAACACTGGCCCCAACCACTTTATTTGCTGGCTCCACTCATATCTGGCTCTTACGTGACCACATGAAGGGTGTTCTCCCCCTGGGGTGTCTGCATTTGTTCTCTCTTTGCTAGGGCTGCTGTCCCCTCAGATATCAGCCCCTTACTTCCTTACTTCATTCAGACATCTTCATGTCACCTTACAACAAACATTTTCACTTACTGCCCGGCTATATGAACGGATTTATAAAATAGTACATTCCCCTCCTGACTCCCATCCTTTATCCTTTTACTAAGCTTCATTCATCTTCAATCTGATGTAATGCACACGTGTCTACTGTTATCTCTCCCAATCAGAATGGAAGCTACAGGACAGAAGAGGTTTTGCTCTATTTGATATTATGTCCTGAGCCTACAACAGTACATGAATGCTCAAAAATTTTTTAAAAACAGTTTTGTTTGTTTGTCCTTCTTTTTGGTTCCAGGATTCAACCCACCCGCCATATTCATTGCATTTGGCGACATGACACTTTAGTCTTCTCTCAATCTTTGAGAGTTTCCCACTCTTTCCTCATCTTCTATGAATTTGACACGTCAGGTATTTGTGGAATATCCCTCAGTCTGAGTTTGTCAGATGTTTCTGAAGATGAAACTGAGGTCATGGGTTTTCAGAACAAATCTCACAGAGTTCTCATCACATCAGAGGTCTCAGACATCAACATGACTTCATTACTCCATGGTCTGCTTGGTTTCTCCACTATAAAGTTACTGTTTCTCTCTTATTATTCTCTTCCTTGAAATGAGTTAGTAAGTCAAGCCCACACTCAAGGGAAGGAGAATTAAGGTCCCTCATATATGGAATATCAAAGAATTTGAGATACATGTTAAAACCATCATAATAATTAGTAAACAGTTTAGGGGGGAATATCTTGAGGTTATGCAAATACTGTTTCACTTTAAAGTTTCATCTCTGCGGTGAGCATATAGCACAGCAGTTAAAGCACTGCTCAGAACACTCGCATTCCCTATGGGAGTGCCCTGAGTTTCAACTCCATTCCTTGTTCCAGCTTCCTTATTTATATCAGCAGAGACTCAAGCATTTATTTTGGGGGTTATAATTTATTATTTATTTTGTGGCTCTGTTTCAGCTTTGGTCATTAGGAATTTTTTTGCTATCCTTCTGACATACCTACTTCTTTAGGTTTCTTGATCACTTTCTTATTTTAGGCACCATGAGATGCTGAGGCTCATTTCTCATCATCAGTCATTTCTCCAAGAAGCCCTGGTTAAAGTGGAGAATGGTATTTGGAAACAGTGATTTGGAAACAATGATTTGGATGCTAAGTGTGCTTGTTACTAAGAGTGTCACAAAGTTCACTATATTTGACTGACTCCCCAAAGGGTGAGAGCTACAAGTTCATACATATGAATAATTCTTCCCCTAACTCTTCCCCCTGCAGTTATAGGTTTAATGGACCCACTACAAGCAATAATACTTTGAAAAGGGGTATTGTTCCTTTGGCACTATCCAAGTATCTTCTACAGTGACTTTTATATCTCAATATATCAATGAAGGCTGTTCCCAGAGTCCCCAAGATTTATGTAGCGCCTCTAACACAGGCATTTTTAGCTCCCATCCTAGAAAGACAAAGATAAAGGAATTATATATACTAGCTGACAAAATAATGCTCAAGGAATTTCAGTTTTTATAAAAGCAGCTAAAACATTTCTCTAAACTGAAAATACCAGCATAAAGACATAGCAATCACGATGATAAAACCAAATTGTAGAATTATTATGAAACAACAGCACAGTTTCTCTTACTGTTAAAACAGTGACACTTAGGGTAAATCTCATATCTCTCTCATACATAAACATCAGCTTCCACTGACCAAAGCAAGGACTGCACTTCAATGATCTAAAAATTATCATTCTACTACGAGTTTTTTAAAGACAAGGAGAGACGTCTTTAAAATCCCCAGCATTCTTCTGAATTAAGGTGCTAGGCAGGCAGAATGCAGGATGGCATCAATCCCTATGGAAATGACTACAGCAAAAACACACTCCCCTATGAAAACGTTAGCAGTTGCAGAAACCTCCCATCAGGCTTCTTGCTACAACTTACCACTTCTTCCTTTTTTGTTTTTAAGTAAGATATATTTTATTTATTTGACAGGAAAAGTTACAGAGAAGGAGGGAGGGGGAGAGACAGAGACAGAGAAGTTGCAAGTGCTTCCACCCACTGGCTCACTCCTCAAAAGGTCCGCAACAGACAGGGCTGGGCCACCCAGAAGCCAGGAACTCCATCTAGGTCTCCAACGTGGGTGGCAAGGACTTAAATCACTTGGAGCACCTCCCCTGCTTTCCCAGACACATTAACAGGGAGCTGGGTCAGAAGCAGAGTAGCCAGGGCTCGAATTGGCACACATAAGGGTTGCTGGCACCACAGGCAGCAACTGTACCACAACGCTTGCCCCTAAAACTGATTTCTTTACATGCTACTCCTTGTTCCCCCCATTTCCTATTGTTTTTATGGAGGAAACACAATCATATGCTTAGATCCAAGAAGATTCATGATTAAGTCTACTTAAAACGCTATTCATTGAAAAAGCTGCCCTCCAAAATGGAGCCTTCGCTTTTTACAGTCCCTAACTCTCAAGGATGACATTTAGCAATGGGCATTCATGAGAGCCAATGTGTTATGGCAGCTTATTTTCTTTTTTTATTTTTTTAAATTTTATTATTATTATTATTATTTTGACAGGCAGAGTGGACAGTGAGAGAGAGAGAGACAGAGAGAAAGGTCTTCCTTTTGCTGTTGGACCAGAACCCGGTGTGCCAGTGCCGCAAGGCAAAGGATTAGCCTAGTGAGCTGCAGCGCCGGCTGCTTATTTTCTTACTTTAACAGGTTTTTTTTTTTTTTTTTTTTTTTGACAGGCAGAGTGGACAGTGAGAGAGAGAGACAGAGAGAAAGGTCTTCCTTTGCCGTTGGTTCACCCTCCAATGGCCGCCGCGGCCAACGCGCTGCGGCCGGCGCACCGTGCTGATCCGATGGCAGGAGCCAGGTGCTTCCCCTGGTCTCCCATGGGGTGCAGGGCCCAAGGACTTGGGCCATCCTCCACTGCACTCCCGGGCCACAGCAGAGAGCTGGCCTGGAAGAGGGGCAACTGGGACAGAATCCGGCGCCCTGACCAGGACTAGAACCCGGTGTGCCGGTGCCGCAAGGTGGAGGATTAGCCTAGTGAGCTGCGGCGCCGGCAACAGTTATCTTTTAGACAACAGAAGCTGCCCAACTGATATAGTGCATAGCTAGACTGATGTCCCAGTGTTCTAGACAACAGCTGCATTTATATTACAGCAAATGACCAACAAATTAAATTACCTTTGTTTTGTGGAGACATTCTAAGGCACACTGATGCCACATTACTGACTAACTGCTTTCTCTCTAGCTCAGACAAGACTTATTGTTTAAGACTATAGGCTAGGAAAGCCTTAAAACTTGTTGTAGGTACATTTAAATGACAGCAACAAAATAAACTTGGCCTTAAGTACTGACATACCAAAAAAAGATTTAAAAAATCCTTGATTGCGCTAGTAGGTTAGTCCGCAGAATATATAAGGAAATTGAGTGACAATAAAGACACAGAAAGTGCCTATCCACTGGTTCACTCTCCAGATGCCTGCGACAGTGGAGGATGGGCCAAACTGAAGTCAGCAGCTGGGAACTCAATCCAGGTCTCCCATGTAGGTGGCAAGGACCCAGCTACTTGAGCCACCTGTTGCCTCCAGCATTAGAAGGAAGCTAGAATCAGGAATGGGGCCAGGACTTAAGCCTAGGCACTCCAACATGGTGTGTGGGTGTCTTAACCAGCATCTTAACCATGAGGTCAAATGTTCATCCTTTCTAAATTTTTTGAAGGAGAGAAAAAAAAAAATCAGTGCCTATGAGTCAATTCCACACTATTTCAAAATATCACCTGCCTTTTCTTGCCTCTGCAACAGTAAGATGCACTTTCTAAACTCTTCCCCACATCTAAACTATGCTAGCCTCGGAATATTTTTCTTGATAAATTCAGACTTCACATGTAGAGCACATGTAGTACTAGTGAAGTCAGACGTCCAAGTTCAAATCCTAGCTCTGCCATTAACCGGCAATATAGCTAAGGCAGATTACTTAGTCTCTGTATTCCTCTTTTCTAAAATGGGAGTAGCAACAATAAAGATTGTCATGAGGAAAAGAAATGTGTACAATGCATACAGAGCAAAGTTAAGTATCGTATGCGGTGTTACTTGGCATTAGGATAACATTATTATACCTACTGAATTTAATTTTTAAAAAAGATTTATTTATCTACTTGAAAATCAGCATTACAGAGAGAGAGGAACAGAGATCTTCCATCTGCTGTTCCACTCCCCAGACAGCCGCAATGAGACGGGGTCAGGCTGAAGCCAGGAGCTAGTAGCTTCCTCCAGGTGCCTCACATGGGTAGCAGGGGACCAAGCACTTGGGCCATTCTCTGCTGCTCCTCCTAGGTCATCAGCAGGGAGCTGGAGCAGAAGTTTAGTGGCCAGGACACAAACCACTACCCATTATAGGATGCGGGTACCACAAACGGCACCTCCATCTGCTATACCACAGGACTGGCCCCTATTCCTACTAAAATTTTAAAACTTAGCCCAACTTTCCTTATGACCTTAATTCAGTCAACAAATTATCTCCATTTCTTGCCATCCATAATTTTAATTACTTGTCATATGACTATCACAGAAGCCACTGTCACCCAAGATGAACAGAGTCTGCAATGAAATCCTCAATATAACATCAATCCACGCCCCAACAATATTCAGGTACCCCTTTGCAACAGGAAACATAAGCAATCAGCTAACGCCTCACCATGCTACTGGAGGACAGGGTACTTTAGCCTGAGTGATACCTGCATGTGACAGCAGCATTTTGGTGCTTTAATTTTTCAACTTATTAGCATTGAGTCAACTTGCCCAATAAATTCTAGAGGGAACTCAAGGAGAAACCATAAACATTTATAAATCTATACTAGGTTCTGAGGAAGAACAATATTCGTCAAATACAGTGAATTATGCCCAAAGAGAACATACTCAGGATCAGTAATATAAGTAATACAGGCTTCCTGGAATTTCTGTATTATATATAATGGGGGGAAATGCAGATAAGTGGACAAATGTGAATCGACAGTACTAACACTTTAAAAACAACCAAGAAATTTTCCAAGACAGCATCACACAATGGAAATGATCCAACAAATACAATTTTTCTTCCACAGCCTGCCTGCCCCCAGACTCAGAAAAAATGTTGTGAAACAAGGTTTTTTGACAAGATCCTCCTAATAAAGACAAAAAATAAAACCAAAATATTTGCCATTAAACCTTCCACGATCAAGGCTATGAATAATCAACTTCAGCACCACTGTCTACACACTAATTCTTTCTTGTTTCACTTACCAGAGTCACTGTTGATCAAGACACCAAGAGGATCTGCATTTGCCTCAAGTGGGTCTTTAGGTTTCGAATCACACACGTGATTGCCTGGTCCAACCACTCCCTGTCGGGTACTGTCATTTTTCCACTTGTTTTGTCTGCCAGGACTTCTGATCTTGGATACCTGTGAATGTCTGGCCATTCCCTTCATCTTGCTGGAGTAGGAAAAATGTAATTCTTAGTATAATAGGCACTAATTTTTCAAGAAAAAATTTGTAAAAGACTACTGGATGCAATAGAAACCTAACTTAATTAAAAGACAAATAGCACATATTCTCACTTATATGTGGGAACTAAAAATATTGATTTCATAGAAGGAGAGAAAAGAATAGTGGTTCCTAGAGGATAGGAGGGACAGGAAGAGGGGGACAGAGGGAGGTCAGCTATCACTAAAATATAGTTACATAGGAAGAGTAAGTTCTAGCAGCATAGAGGGGTGAGTAGAGTTTACAATTTATTATATTTATCTTATAAGGAACCCAAAAAAGGAGAGGGGCTGGTTGTGGTATAGCAGGTAAAGCCGCTGCCTGCAGTACTGGCATCCCATAAGGCTGGTTCGAGTCCCGGCTGCTCCACTTCCAATCCACCTCTCTGCTATGGCCTGGGAAAGCAGTAGAAGATAGCCCAAGTCCTTGGGCCCCTGCACCTGTGTGAGAAAACCCAGAGGAGGCTCCTGGCTGCTGGCTTCAGATTGGTGCAGCTCCAGCCATTGTAGCCAACTGGGGAGGTGAACCAACAGATGGAAGACCTCTCTCTCTCACTCTGCCTCTCCTTCTCTCTCTAACTTTTCATATAAATAAATAAATTCTTAAAAAAATAAAAGAGGAAATAGAAAGCTCCCAACACAAAGAAATTATAAATGTGTAAAGAGATGGAAATGCCAACTATCCCGATTTGTTTTTCACATATTGTGTGTGTGTGTGTGTATAAACATCACACTAAGTCCCATAAATACATTAGCATCAATTTTTAGAAACTACATAAATAAATAAAAATAAAAGATCAATAAATTAGAATTCATGAAAATTAAGAACTTTTATTTAAGAAAAGACAGTACTAGAAACATGTTTCTAGCCAAAATAAAGAACGAAAGACTGACAGTAAAATAAGTACCAGTGAGGAGATAAAAATATTTGAAGAAATAGTGGCCAAAATTTTTCCAAATCTGGTCAAACTTACAATCTCATTATACAATAAGCTCAGTGAATCCCAACTGAAAGAAATCTGAGGAAAAGTACACCAATGCACATCATAACAAAACTGCTCAAAACCAGTGATAAAAGAGCCAAAGGAAAAAAAGGCATTTTATATGAGACAAGATAATGATGACAGCATATTGCTCACTGGAAACAAAGAAACAACATCTTTAAAATACTACAAATTTTTAAAAACCACCTAGACTTGCACATCCAGCATAAATATCTTTCAAAAATGAAGATAGGAGGCAAGCTTTTGGTACCACAGTTAAAACCCTGTTCAGATCTCCACATTCCGTATCAGAGTGTCTGGTTTAAGTCCTGGCTCCTCTGTTTCCAATCCAGCTTCCTGCTCATGTGCACCCTGGGAGGCAGCACACCCAAGTACCTGGGTACTACCACCCATGTGGGTGGCCTGGATAGAATCCTTAGCTCCTGGCTTCATTCAGGCCCAGCCCTAGCTGTTGGGGAACCTGAGCAGTGAGCAAGCAAATGGATGAACTCTGTCTCCTTGCCATTCAAATAAAATGGAAATACCTTTTAAAAAGAAGAAAAATAAAGACTTTTTCAAACACACAAAACTGAAATCAGTCATCCCCAACAGACCCTCACCATGAGATAGAAGCAGGTTGAAGGAAAATGATTTCAGGTGGAAAAATCTGTCTATGCAAAAGAACAAAGAGAACCAGAAATGATACCCTAGTCATGAGCCATCCAACCGCAGCTGTGATTGAGCCTTGTCAAAATCAGCAGATATCAGCACAGCACCGTGGTGCAGTGGGTGAAGCCACTGCTTGCAATCCTGGCATCCTATGCTGGAGTGCTGGTTCAAGTTCCAGCTGCTCTGTTTCTGGTACAGCACTCTGCTGTTGCTTTTAGGAAAGCAGCAGATAGCTCAACTTCCTGGGACCCTGCCACCTGTGAGAGAGACCTGGATAGAGTTCTAGGCTCCCAGCTTCAGGCTGAATACCCCTGGTTGTTGCGGCCATTTGGGGAGTAAACCAGCAAATGGAAGATCTTTTTGTCTCCCGCACCATCACTCTGCCTTTCAAGTAAATATATCCTTCAAAAGGAAATTAAGAAAATGAAAAGGCAAGCCACATGTTGCTGGACACATTTGTAGTATACGCACTCCACTCAAAAAGCATTCGTATCTAAGCAAACAACTTCTACAAAATAGGAAAAGCAGCCTCAATTAAAAACTAGTCAAAGGCTTTCAGCCGGTTCTTTACAAGACAATATTCAAATGGCTAATAAGCCCATGAAAAGATAGACTCAGTACCACTAGCCGTGAGGAAAGGTATAGCATTACTAAGCATGACCAGGGTACAAAGCAATGAGATATCATTAGAAAAAGTGCAAATTGACTCAAGCACTTTGGGAAACTGGCCATATCTATTAAAGCTAACCTATGATCTAGCACATGTATATGAGCAATGAAAATGCATACTTTTGGCCATAAGATATATAGAAGAATGTTCACAGCAGCTTTATTCATATAGCCCATAGTGACAACAACCCAAATATCCAGCAGAATGCATATATATTCTCACAATTGGTTCCAGACAGTAATGAGAAATAATTTACCACTACATATAAAATGTGTAACTAGTACAAAATAATTTTGAGCCAAAGAAATCATGTACCCCAGAATATATACTATTTGATTCCATTTACATAAAGTTCTAAGAACAGGCAAAATAAATTAATGATGACAGAATTCAGAAAAGGGGCTACCTTTGTGGGGAGGCAGTAACCAGGGAAAGGCTTAAGAGCTTCATGAGGTTAAGATGTTCTATATATTAATCTGTATAGAGGTTACATGGATGTGAACAGGTATGTATATACATATATAAGAATTCATCGACTTGTCCACTTAAAATTTGTATATTGTATTATAATGTACTTCAGTAAAAAGTAAATAAAATGGAAAAATTATGAAAGTAGTTCTATGAAAGTCAGAGGATGGGGGAAATAAGGTGTCTCCTATATTGCTGATGGGGCAGCAACCTGGTCCAGCTCCTATGATAGATATATGGCAATATCTATCAGTATTACAAATATATATACCTTTTTACTCAGCAAATCCATCTCTAGGAATCCATCCTTAGAAATACTTGCACATATGTAAAATACTGTATGTACAAGGGCAATAATGTAACTTTATTAGCGAAAGATTGGTAAGAGCTTAAGTGTTTACCCATAGAAAACTGATTTTTAAAAATACTGTAGGATATCTTTAAGCTACCTACATATCCTTACAGAATGAAGTTTGTTATAGATCAGTAATGGGACAACCCTCAAGTATACTGTCTGGCTCTAAAAGCCAGATCCATGTGATGGCCATGTGGTACAGCAGTCAAGTCCCTGCTTGGGATGCCTGTATCTCCTACCAGAGGGTCTGTTTCAAATTCCAGCTACTCTGCTTCCAAACCAGCTTCCTGCTAATGCACTCCCTGAGAGGCAACACACGATGGCTCAAGTACTTGGGTCCCTGTCATGCAGGTAGGAGACCCAGATTGAGTTCTGGGCTCCTGGATTCCACCTAGTCCAGCCCTGGCTGTTTGGGGCATTTGGGGAGCAAACCAGTGGACGGGAGATCTCTCCCCATCTGTCTCTCTTTCAAATAAAATGAAACTTCAAATATATAAATAAACAAAGCAATGTTCAGGACAGCATCAAAAAATAAACTGAAATGATTATATCACCTGCTTGCTATAAACAGGTTGCCTCTGGTAAGGACACTATTGCACTAGGAGACACAGACCCAAAGGACTTGTTCATGATCTATCTTTTTGAAAGTCATATGAATACTTATTTAGCACTGAGAATGCAAGCAATCTGAGGGAACTCACCCATACTGTGTTGTTGTCAATACTGCTCCTCTCTTTTCCTTTTCAAGTTTTAGCTTCTTTTTCCTTTCAATATTGGCAAGAGTTGGGTAGTTTCTAAAAAATAATAAAAGGCCTTTGAGAGGACAAGTTGAAGTAAGCAATCAATTACTGTATTTAGCAATTTTGGTTTTAAAACTAATCCAGTAAATTATAAACTTTTAATTGCTCTAGAATGTTGTGAAGAGGGGGAAAATATAGACTGTTAACAGTGCCACTCAGCATTGGCCAGCTGCTGGTCCACAAATGTGCTACCAATCGGCAACTAAATAAGGAACTTACTTACGTAAATCATACAATGTGCTCAGACTGATATAATTCATTTATTTGGCATGTACTCATAAATTCTTTAAGAAAAAATTTTAAGTCAATGCAACTGCTTATGCAGATGTGTTAGATATATTGAAAATTAAAGATGAAGAAGAGCTAGTTCTCAAGAAAACAGTCTACCAGAAGTATTGGAAAACATACAATCGGCACTATCATAGACACAATATAATAAATACTCATAAGACTATAAAAATTGGAGATGGGATGATTACACCTAACAGGAGAAATCCAGAGAGGAACATGAAAGAAACTGATCTTAAGTGGTATTAACAGACAGAAATCAGACGGAAACATTTCAGTGTTTGAAGTAGGGTAAAGAAAGTTGAGGAACCTTGGCCTCAGAAGTGAGAGGTACCAGGGAATAATTTATATGAAATATAATACAGTTACAGGGAATCAGACTGGAAAGGGAGGCACAGGCCAAAATGTGTCTTGAATACCAGACTAGAAAGTTTTTATTGAATTCAGCAGGTGATGGGGAGCCAGAGAGTCACGAACAGAGAGATATATACAAGGCAGTGATTCCATCTGACAGCAGCATGCAAGATGGATTGCTTTCTTTGTTTCTTGGCATAGCAAGTGGAGACACAGGTTCCAAACTCTGAGGGCGAGCACAGACACCAGAGAGGGGAGAAAACTCAGAAGGTGAGGACACCAGTGGCTCCTATCCTCAGCCCAGATGCTCAGCAGAATACGTTTTGAGAAACACCAAACTCTGACCTGTCAGTGCTTAGAAGACACTTTTTTATTTTTTAACATCTGCATGACTGACTTGAATGGCATAGACAATATGAAACCTATGGCTGGCCATATTAGAAGACAGGAATGGAAATGACACTGAGTAAGTGGTGAAGTAATCAGAAAAAAAGGCAATGAATTTCAATGAGGACAGTGCAAAGCAATACATCCAGCCAAGAAAAATAAACTGCATAAATAAAAGATGATGAATGCACAAGCTATAAATAAACATAAGAGGAAAAGATCAAGGTCATAGAAGATAAAAATCTGACAGCCTGTCAGCAACAAAGAACTACGCTTTCAGAAAGCAAACACACTCTAGGGTTCTATCAAGTGGACTCTGACACTTTGTACAAGTGTGAAATCCTCCTCCCATGACACTCAAGAGTAGTCAAACACTCTGAAGCACTGTCAGTTTTGTACTTCTAACTGGAAAAAGAAAGACAAAGAAAAAATAAAATTTGGAAGGGATCCAAAAGAGACTCACAGATGATTAATAGGCTGAAAAATAAAACCTCTGAAGATTGAAAGGAACTACTTGCAGCATTTAAAATAGGAGAGAGGTGGCAATAAAATAATCTTACAGGGAGGATGGTAGTCGGCTGCCCGCAAAACTTAATATAGAATATGCAGAAGCAAAGCCGGAGCTGCGGCTCAATAGGCTAATCCTCCGCCTTGCGGCACCAGCACACCGGGTTCTAGTCCTGGTCAGGGCGCCGGATTCTGTCCCGGTTGCCCCTCTTCCAGGCCAGCCCTCTGCTATTGCCCGGGAGTACAGTGGAGGATGGCCCAAGTCCTTGGGCCCTGCACCCACATGGGAGACCAGGAGGAAGCACCTGGCTCCTGGCTTCGGATCAGCGCGATGCGCCAGCTGCGGCGGCCATTGGAGGGTGAACCAACGGCAAAGGAAGACCTTTCTCTCTGTCTCTCTCTCACTGTCCACTCTGCCTGTCCAAAAAAAAAAAAAAAAAAAAAAAAAAGCAGAAGCAAAAATGAGAAAAACAATGCTGACTTTTATAGCCCCTAGGTAGAGCTACTCAACACATACAGAACTCTCAAGTTCACTTACTCTTACTATCCTGTGTTTCTTTAGTATTAGCATTCTGAATATTGCAGACCCTTAACCTCTTGGGTTAAGTAAGATTTGGTACTTTAACGCACAATATATAAATAAACAAATGCTAGGTATGTTCTTTTCAATGGTAAAGAATCAAAGTATTTGTCACAGAGGTAGATTTAGATGGAACAGAAAAACTCCCTACATTAGACATCAAAGATGTTGGGGAAAGTCCTTTGGTGAAGCCTGACTTTCACTTCCTAACATATCAGGTTCCTAAAGGTACGCAATCTTTCAGTTACAAGGTTCTAGCTTTCAGTGCCAAAATTAGTAAAATCCTCTTTCAAAATTTCATTTACACAGAAAATAAGGGTACCAGAAAAGAAATATCCCCAAAAGAAGAGAACACAAGACACAGTCATGTACACAAACCACCACCCACAAACATAAAACAAAAACGGACCCGGGAGGATAAGAAGTCAAGTGCTCCTACGAAGGATACAGTGAGGCTTCCTCAAGTACACCTGAAACAATGAAGCCAAAAGCCCCGGGGGGAAAAGACTCACAGATTCTATCTCACATTGTACAATTACATCTCCTGTTAAGAGAATGACTGTGATGAAGTTCTAGACTGCAACAAGGGATATTTTCACATCCCAAGAGAAACTGGCAGTGAAATCATATGCTCTTTTTCTTCTCCTTCTTTCACTTCATTTTTTAAAAATTTATTTCTTTATTTGAAAGGCAAAATTACAGAGAGAGAGAGAGAGAAAGACAGAAATTTTCTATCTCCTGGTTCACTCCCCAAATGACCCCAATGGCCAGGACTGGGCCTGGCCGAAGTCAGGAGCCAGGAACTCCATCTGGGTCTCCCACTGGGGTAGCAGGGGCCCAAGCTATCCTCTGTTACCTTCCCAGGCACATTAGCAGGGAGGGGGATCCGAAGTGCAGCAGCTGGCGGTCACATGGGATGCCGATGACAAGGGCAGTGGCTTACCTGCTGCACAACACCAGCCCGTCTCATTTCTTACCTCCTTTTTTGCCCTCCTCCTTGTCTATACTTTTAGCCACAGCAACAGGCCTTAAGTACCACAAAACCGATAAATGGGCATACTGGTGCAAGCCATCACCTTAGCACTTAACTATTCTCGTCACATTATTCCCTTTTTCCTTATTCTCCAACTACTGCCCATTTCCTCCTAGACATCTTCTCTCTAAAGCACCACCCCTTTTTACTCTCAGTGACCCACAACGTGCTTCAGTGCCAGCTATGCAACTGCAATGTCATCTGCACTTCAGAGAGATGTGATTTGCTTGAGGAGCAGACCCCTACACCAGAATTCTGAATGATAGGGTTTCCTCAGAGCCACAGTCAAGCACCAAATATTACAAAACCACTCCCCCTAGTGGATTCCCTGTGTGCTGTGAAGTGCATGCCACTGTTTCTAAAAGCAAAGTTTTCAAATGCATATCTTAAAAAATAAATATAAAGGGGCCTGCAGTGCTGACATCCCATATGGGCACTGGTTCAGGTTCTAGTCCTGGCTGCTCCACTTCTGATCTAGCTCTCTGCTATGGCCTGGGAAAGCAGAAAATGGCCTAGGTGCTTGCACCCGCGTGGGAAAACCGGAGTAAACTCCTGGCTCCTGGCTCCAGATCGGCCCAGCTCCAGGGTTGTGGCCATTTGGGGGTGAACCAATAGATGGAAGGCCTTTCTCTCTCTCTGCCTCTGCCTCTCTGTAACTCTGCCTTCCAAATAAATAAATATAATCTCTTAAATATATATATATATATGCATGAGAAATGGATGAACACTTCAGAACAAGTTAAACAGAAAAATAAGAAGCAAAATACAGATCAATCTCAGTTGAATTCAGCAAGGGTCAAATAATTTCAGAGGCCGGCACTATGGCATAGCAAGGAAAGCCTGCAGTACCAGCATCCCATATGGGCGCTGCTGGTTCAAGTCCCTGCTACTCCACTTCTGATGCAGCTCTCTGCTATGGTCTGGGAAAGCAGAAGATGGCCCAAGTTCTTGGGCCCCTGTACCCATAGGGGAGACCTGGAAGAAGTTCCTGGCTCCTGGCTTTGGATAGGCCCAGCTCTGGCCATTGCAGCCACTTGGGGAGTGAACAATCAGATGGAAGACTCTCTCTCTCCCTCTCTACCTCTGCCTCTCTGAAACTCTTTCAAATAAATAATTAAATCTTTAAAAATAATAATTTTAGAGCCACTAACAAGGCAACAACTTGGATACAAATAAACTTCATATAAAATTGTCATCTTCACCCAATTTCCTCATTCTTTTAACTATCTCTGAATCTCATAAATCTGCGATCTCATTTATTCACTCAATAGATTTTGCAGTTCCTCTCCCAAGGGACTTGAAACCACTATCACAGCACACTTTCAGCCTGCATTCTGGAAACTAGCTTACTCCATCTCTCTGCCCCCAACTGTCCTACATGAAATGAATCATCACCAAGCATATTAAGTACTTGCTGAAGTCAATTCTGTATTCAGTTTTGAAATTGGACAAAGCATGCCACCAAACACTAGGACAGGGCAAACAGTGTCACTGCCTCTTCTCTCCTCTTAACAATGTGGGGCCTTTCCATCAACTCCACTGTCACTAAGGTGGCCATGAAATCTACTTCTGACCAGTGGAAACCCCTGGTTGAAGCTAAAAACAAAACCATTGTTTTCCCAATAAAAAGGGGGAAACAGGCCATATGTGCCTGTTACTTTTTTTCTTCTTCCTGCCTAGAATGTGGGCTTATCATTGGATTTACAGAAACCTTCTGGCAGGGAAGATGAAAACCACCTGCAAAGGAGCAGTAAGAAAGAGTCTGTGCCTGGTGGTACGGTCAACCAGCAACAGCAGCCCTGGGCTTTTTTTCACTTGGGAAACAGGGAACCCTCTGTGCTAAGC